TCTTATGGAGCTCAGGAAATGCATTCCTACTGCAGATCGATGGGATTGAACCAGGATCTTGTGATCAGCGACCTGGGCGTGCACCCACTGCACTATAGACCCACAGGTCAAAATGGATTTTATTTAGATTTAAACTTATAATAATATTATTGTTAACCAATTCTCAGCAATAAGACTACTATGACCTTTAGCAGCAAAAGCAGAAATACTAGTAATATTGTTAGTACTCTATACTTTATCTCAAGATACCAATATCATTATCTTTACAGATTGCAATATAGCTATTAAAATATAGAATACAATATAATCACAATAGTTTATATTATTAAGAAAATGAATCAAAACAATCAACTTATTACTTTGGACAAGAATAAAAAATCTAGTTAAAAAAAATTTTATACCTTGATACTAGAAAAAGTTCATGCATATAAAAAAAATTATTTTAATAATATGATAGATACACTAGTAAAATTGGCTAAAAATGAAAATTCAATAGAATGGCAGCATATATAAAAAATATGTATAATCTTCTCTATAGCTATATGGAAAGGTCTGACCATTGGCATTGATATCTGAAAGTTCATTAAAAAATAGAATCAAAGAAAGATCAACCTTAACTGAAGTAATCAAAGATAAGTCTAAAATAAATAGAAAAAACAAAGATAAACTGAACAGTCTTTTGGAGCCAGTTTAATATATATTATATATTTCCTATATCTTTCAAGAATAACAAGAACAAAAGTTTTTTGGTGAATCTTACTTATAACAAGTTTCCTATATTATAAATACTCAAGAAGTGAAAATCAAAAGTATATAAAACAACTACTTGTATTAAATGTGAAACTCATGAAAAGATAATTAATTACTTGTTTTTGTGTTTAACAATGAGCTTAAAAAGACTAGATATCTGAAAAAAAGCAAGTAAAAAGTTGATCCAATATATTATTAACCAAGTAGAGATTAAGGACAAGGATTAAGAAGCTATTTATCAAGTAGTCTATATATGGTTTGATGAGATATAGCAATAGGAACAAAGTCTTTTTAAAATAATATATAGATATATATATAAAGATAAAACAAGAGATATTGAAAATTTCCTCAAATTATATTATAAGATAAAACCACTTATCATAAAAAAAGTATAGAAAGATTGTACCAATAAATATGAAAGAATTTTTAAAAAAAAATCAGAAATGACTATTGCAAAGCAGTAATTGAGTGGAAAAAAACTTTGAATATTGATAGAAAATCTAAATAATACTAAATTCTAAAGAAGAAGTGTACAATATAGAAAATTCAAATAAAGAGGATAGCTTTTCATTAGAAAAGATCTTATCTAAAGAACAATCCAAAGATATAAATATTAAGGAGATTATTGAAAGATGAATAATAAAAGGGAAAAAGTGATTAGATATTGATTTGCTATTTAGAATTTTGGGTAATTTACAATAATGATTTGTAAGCAATGAACTTGATAGCTAAAGGATAATCCAAGTTATTAAGAGAACAAAATATTATTCCTTAAGTTGTATCTAGAGAAGTTAAACTTCTAAAACAGATGAACTATTATGTGAAAGTTTTTTAAATAATATAATAATTTTAAATACACAATAAAGATAAGCTATGTCAACTTGACAAAGGATCAAAAAAAAAAAAAATAATTTAAAAAAAAAATTTTTTTTTTAATATTTTTAATTAATATTTATTAAAAATTATATAACAATTAATAAAAAGGAAAATATTAAAGTTTTAAAAAAAATTGTATATCAAAAATTTTGAAAAAAAAAAAAATAATAATAATAAGTTTTAAATAATATTATATACAATATAAACTTTATAATATTTGAAAACATAATTACAAAATTAATTATTAAAGTTAAAATTTATAATAAAAACAATTGATTCCGAATTTTTATAAGCCACTGTTTAAAATGAACTTTTTATCAGACTTTTTTAATTGAATCAAATCTATTAGTTTAATTCATTTTCTTTAACTATTCTTTGTAAACATTTTAAAGTATAAAATTATATACCTGTATAGGAATTTTTATTAATAATTTATTTATATATCTTTTATGATTGATGTTTAACAAAATTTTTTGTTCTTGCATATATATATATATATATATATATATATATATATATATAGTATACAGTATAATTTAAATAATAGCACTCTATTACAAGCATCTGATCTTCAGGAATTCTCATTTTCTTAATTGCATTAATATGTTTACCTCAAATAGACCTGCTAAGTTGGAATCCATTTAAAATGGGTGACAGACCGTTGATCGCCAGATTCTCCTCGGCGCCTGATTGGGGATTAGCTACCTTGCTTTTATAATACGAAAGCGCTTCATCAAGAGGTAAATGATCGGTGAGATTTCTGTAATTTTATGAATAGAAGAAATAATTAATAATATTCAATGAACGTTCTCTATCACGCTTGACAAATTCGCAAATCTTTCCTACATTCTCGGTGCCACATTTAAACAGTGTCTGGCGTCAAGATGTAAATCCATAATATTTGAATTGTGTGCGCCTGGACTGAACGCCACTCGCAAGGAATATTCCTTATCTCCGGTTGTACCACGATGTCGTTCGTAAAGTTCAAATGTTATTTGGGTAAGATCTTATATATTTTAAAAACATACATTAGCAGAGAGTTTGTTAGCTACCATCTCAACTGTATAAAGTGCAACCATATTGGTGCTTACAGTCCAGTTCCGGTATGTCACGCCTAGAAATCCTTGTAGGAAGGCCCGACAAGAATACAACATTCAATAATGTATGTACATGGGACTCTAGAATAAGAAATTTATTCGAGTAAATAAAAACTACGATATAGTTTCCTGGTGTCGACAAGAAGTGATAATATCCTATGAGCTCACCTTTTGTAAAATATAGTCGGGTGCACGGGGTTAAACTCGATTTTGATTCCTGAATTGGTGCGAGTAGAAATTGAAATTATTATATTTTATCAACAATAAACTATTTATATTGCGACATTAAAAATACCTCCAAGTTTTTTATTATATCTTGCAGCAACGAATTTGATGTTAGCAGGCCGATTTGAAGTTTTTCTTTATTATTGATTCCATACTCTTGCGGGGCCACAAAATCGAATAAAACCTTGGCGTGCTGATATAATTCTTTGATCATGAATTTATTACGTCCGCTTCGGGCAGTAAAAATTGTTTCCAAAAATTGTCGATTATGCAACGAATCGTACTTGATCGAATCGTAAAGCTCGGAAACTTTGCTTGCATCAAGTTTTTGACGATCGACGTCGCAGAAGTCCTTGAATAATTTCTCCCAACGTTCTCGGAAAAGCAATGGATTCTCGGAGCAACACCAACGCAATTGAATGTTTTCATGTTCCATGCACTCAAAGTTTTCCTGCATTATTTGACGAAGACTTTTCATCATATCTATAACCTCTTGAATCATTATATGCGGTTCAGGTCTGTCGCTTGGCCATGCGATGTCCATTTTAGACGCCTCTCCGGGTTTCAAAAGATTGCACAACTGACTCTTCACGATGTCCATTTGTTCCTTAGCTGAATTACTATCATCCAACATCTCCTTGCGAGTCTCAATAATATCTTCCGGAATATCGTTGATGTCCAAAAATGATCGGACGAATATTTCAGCTATTAAATTGAGGCACAAATTTCTCATTAGATTCCTTGCTACTCACAATAGCTTCGAGAAGGTTTGAGCTATACCACAATGATCACCCCTCCTGGACGATATCTTTTCAAAGGAATTATTCCTTCTTTTTGCCATTATAAAATACATTTTAATTATAATTCCATAAACATCATTCCCTTTCATAATTTTCGGAATGCGTACGCAATTAATTCTTCATGTACTTAAGATTCAGTCGATATTTCTTGAGGTAGTGTCCGCCGAAGATTATAATTTCATAAAGAAAATAAATTCATTATATTGAAACATACCGGTTGCAGTAACTCGCCGTTCTGAACTCGTGTACGTTTTAATGTCGTTAAAAACATCCCTGTTTAATATCAATAAATCTTTCCGTAAATTTTCTCCCAAATCTCGCGACTGATATCGAGCCGAATGTGTGAACTAAAATAAAATCAGCGAAAGGGTGTGTTCATTCCAAAGAATTAAACACATATGGAAGTAGTAACTTACAGAATGCTAATTACCTCACCGCCCCACTTAGTAATGAGTTGAAGTTTTACAAACTGTCCATTGAGATAAGAGGGTTTTATTTGTACTTTTGTTCCAGGAAGATCACCTTTCATTTGTAATACTGTCTTGAGTTGATTCAATTTCCCCAAATCCTCACATCGTAATTGTATGGCCTTATCTACTGCATTCGAAACTTCTTTTAATTCATGTTCCTTTCGCAATATAACTTCTTCGGTTGAACCATCCAGTAATTCAACGAATGGATTGCTTCGAAAATTAAATTTCATTTTTTGCTTTGGAGTACGATCAGCGTGTCGAAACACCGATACAAAAGACTTAAGACGCCAAGAATTTTCAAAACGAAGTTCGTTGGGTATTGCATCGATACTGACTTTTCGCTTCCGAACAGCGTTCAGAAACATAGTCCTTAGGATACGTGTGCAATTACTATAATATTCATCATTACCCTTTACAAAAGACCAACCATTTACATCGATGACATAAGATTGCCCGTTAACTCTAAGTAAATCAAATCCGCACACAGTTTGGCCAAAGGCCAGAGCAATGTCGCTCGCGATCTCTTTCTCTTCGGGTGTGAGAGTTGTGACATAACGAACCTCCTTCCCGTCATTATTGCGTCGAACCAATCCGTCGACAACCGGTGATTTTCGTGTCTCTGCATGAGCATAATTAGGACCAATCGTGTAAACCTTAACGTCTTCGGCATTATCGACGTCCATAAATTGTTCGTAAATGTATGAACCATCGGTACGCGGTTCCCGCAAAAGCGGATCGAACTCGCTTGATTTGTTGGCCACCTAAAAAGGACAGGTGGTTGACCTTTAATAGATAATCGCGTGACATAATAGTCTCTCTTCGCAAATAGAAAGGATGGTAATTACCTTTCGAAAAAGTCGACGACCGCCTCCACCCATCTCCGAAGAATAATATATGTGTATATTATGATCTTCTCCACTAATAGGTTTTTCAACAAAAGGTTTTCGTAATAATTGACCGTTAACACTGATAGTATCAAAGTCAACCATTTCAACTTTAGCAGGAGGACATGAGATCTGTTTGAGTTGGGTGCCTACATTTTTTAGCACTTGAGATATTACATCTGAATCTATTTTTGGTCCACCATCTCTGCTAGCAACTAACCGTTTCGGAGTTGGTATGCCGAGAACATCAAGCAACATCATAACCAGACGTCTGTCCCATAAAATTTTCTGCATGGGCAAATCGTTTACGCAAAAAGGCTTTCGTAATTTGACATACTCGATAGCTTTGTCCAAGGGAAAACCGGTGGAGAAAAATGAAATAAAAAAATCGCAAATTGGCCAATTCTCAACGTCTAGATACGACAGAATTTGAAAATGCCGAGATAGTAAGGAGATTAAGGATTGGGATACGAAAATTAACGGATCCGTAAATCTCTAACCTTCATCCAAGATTACTTTATCACCAAATATTACAGCCTCAAATTCTTCATGAGCAAGAAGCCTATTCAAGATGTTTCTCATAGGCTTTGAGCGTGCCTTATTATCCATGGCGCAAACTCCTATGACAACTAGAAAAACAAAAGGTGTTTAATAATTGAAATTTTTTCGAGTACGAGAAAGTAGTTTCAAGTGAGTAACGGACATTTTGACCTCATGGGGGTATTAAGGAAAGATGTAGAGGAAAGCATTTGAACAGTGAAAGAATACAAGCGGAGAGAGCGAGCACTCCGACTTATATGACGAAAATCTTCTATGGTTGGTTATCTTGCATACGTTTTTTAAAGTGATTAATCGGATCTCTCCATCAGAATTTACGCAATTGACGTAATGGGGTAATGGGCTTTCATTTATACGCGTTTTATCTACTATTATTGCTTGAAATTGTATGATAAATATTTGCATCGTGTTATTTGTAATTTACTTGATTTGCCAATTAATATTTCTTTAACCGACGAATTACTAATAAGCCCCTTCTGACTTCTAGAATTTATCCCGAGATTTAACTTTATATAGAAATATTAATTAAAATCGTTATAGATATAGGGCTTATGAAATACAAAAAAGTTTATTTTTTTTTTTAACTCAATCATGAGACATATCTACAATGTTGCTTTGACTATCACATGACGACCAACTCGTCGTTAGTTAAAGGATCAATACTACTTCAAAAAATATGAGAAATCCACTAAGCCAGTTCAACTCGGTTCACAAAAGTTTAACTTTAAAAAAATTTTGTATTATAATTATACAAAAAATAGGCATGATTGTTAATAGAATTATATAAGATCTAAAATAAAATAAGGTAGACCTTCTATTTAAAAACTTGATCTCTATTATATTATTGAGATGTTAGAATATATTTTTCAATATGTTTTCAATTGATAATATAGTTTTAATTTATATATTGTTTATTTCATAATTTTTTGTTATTTTTTTAATAACAGTTTTGAATTATAAAAAAACTGGTTTTTTATATTTGTTAAAAAATATCATAATTGTTCTTCAATCTTTAAATATTATCATAAAAATACTACTTTAATAAGTTGATCTAAAAATATGATCTTATATATTCTTAAAGACAAAATAGCTTTTTTATATTTTTTATTATTCTTTAATATTGATTTAATAGGGATAAAGCTTTCTTGATAATTAAGATTTTAATAAATTTATTTCAAAACAAAGAATTCCAAATAATATTTGTAAATAATTTTACAGAGTCCATAGTAACAGAAGATGGAATTGATCAAGAAGAATCTATCTTACCTTTACTTTAAAAAAATTTTTATATTCCTCTACTTTGAAAAATTCAAATAATATTCAAGAAGATATAAAATATCAATTATCTAAAACCCTGATCTAAAAAATCATAATATTAAGAAGTCAGAATCAAGGCATATTATCACAACTTTTATAGATGACATGATATAAATAGCAAAATTCAAGAAAGATATGAAAGGAATCTTGAAAACTATTGTCAACATTCCAATTTACCTCTTAGGAATCAGATGGAGATAGAAAACTAGTATAGGAAAACATCAAGTTAGACTTTTAATGTGATATATAGAAGTTTCTAATTTGAATAATAATAAATAAAGAGGTTTATTATTGGTGATTTAGATAGAAGAAGTAGGTCAATAATTTTGGATTAAAGGTAATTTTATTATTGAATAAATCTTGAGAAGTCTCCAGAGGAAGAATTTTCTTTTTTAAATACATAAGTGAGTTATATGATATTTAAGAATATAAACTAAGATAAATAATAATAATCATTATACTATTAGTTTCGCTGGATTATTAAGCTATATTATTTTAAACAGAACTCAAGTATCCTTCGAAAATAATAGTTATATGTGATAGGATAGGACTATAAAATATTCTAGAATACTTTATACTAAGTTTGCTAATAGCAAAATCAATTATCAATGTTCTAGAAGTATTTTGAAAGATCTTTACTTTCAGGTGACCAAAAGAATCATGATATATTGATCTGAGATACTGGGTTATCCTAGGTACTAGGAAGATCATAAGATGAAATTTTATAGTTCAACACTGTAAAAGCTTTTTACAAGATCAATGATTCTCAAATCAATGATAACAAGTTAATACTTATAACTATTAACAATCTTAACTACTATTCAAAAGAAGTGTATATAAATACTAAAAAAGAAATAATCAAAGAACTTGATAGAATAGAACAATTCTGATTTTTGGAAATCTGGATTAGCAATCAAAAAACTATAATTAAATTTAAAGAATATATGTTTAAAGAAATCAATATAGTTACTAAAACCCTGAAAAACAAAAAAATAATTGATAAAAATAAACTTTTTATATTCTAAATAAAGTATTAATATATAGAATAGAGTTTAGAATACAATACAGCATATTGTCTTGAAAAATATGTAACAAACTAACAACAGTATATAAAAAACTTTTCAAGAATAAGTGTTTTATATAGATTTATATTGAATAGTATAATTCATTATTCAAAGATTCTTAACTTGAAAAGTATCTAGATGCTACAATAAGAAAGTTAAATAATAGATTTATATAATAGACTAAATAATCCAGTATTAGTTAGGATTACAATAATTATTAGGCTAAAGCAAATATAAATCAAATATTAGAAGTTACTTAATTTACTAACTTACAAGTTACTAAGCTATTTATCAAACAATGGCAATTTCTTACTCTATGTAACTAAACTGATAATAAATATAGAAATAACTTTTTATAATTAGAAATGGTAAAAAATATTTAAAGGAAATAAATAAAATAGTCTGATTTAAGAATATCTTATATTAGAAAAATATAAAAAGGCTATACCATTTTTAAGAAATAATAAATTAATGCACTTAGATCAATTATTAGATCAAAAAAGTATGAAAATAAGAAATTGACAAATACTTCAACTAATACAGAATATAAGCAAAGAATCTATTTCAGATTGATATCAGATTATAATCAAAAATCTTTCAGTTAAACATGTATAGTAGCTCACAATAACCTGAAAAGAAGACTGTACAAAATAAAAACTGAAATATCTCAAAATAAGTTTTAATCAAGATAAATAATATAAATTGTGAATAATATGAAGTAATAAAAATAATCAGTTAATTTGGGAAAAATTAAAATAAGTAAAAAAAGGATATAATCCACTAGTAGAATACTTCATCTAATATAGTACTAATAATAACTAAAAGACAAGATTACAAAAATATCTTGGATACTTAGAAGAAATCATACAAAATAATAGCTGCATCATAAAAAAAGATAAAAAAGAAATTTATACAATATCTTATTTTAATAAAAGAATATCTATTAGAAGAACAGAAGAATTAAAAATTCTTAATTTCAAGATAGCACTTGAGAACATTATTGTAAAAAAAATTTATAAAAATTAGAACTCTTTCAAGACTTTTTTTTAAAATAATAAAGTAAATCATGTGAATATTAAAACTTGGAAAGAAATTATAATTAAAGAAAATATTAAATAAGAAGTAAATTTAGATCAGTTAATAGAAATATTTCAATACAATCTAGGATCCAAAGAAAAGTCAACTTTTTATTCTAATGAATTACTTATTAATTATAGTAAATATGCAATAAAAATGGAAGCTATATAGATTCAAATAGGAAATATTAAGAAAAAAAGCAGATTTCAAATAGAAGTAAATAATTAATCTTCTTTTATAAAGGTTAAGTTGTAGCAATTCTAATTATATTTTTAGTAGTTTTTATTAATAACATGATTGAGATTTGTATAGATAGTCAGACTTGTATTACTAAATAAAAAATTATAGAAAAAAAGAATCTGAAAAGAATACATAAGAGATGGCTAAAGAAAAAAAATTGATTTCTATGAAAATAAATAATGAAGTTAACAAAGAAAAAAACTATAAATCTAAAGTTTACTAAAGTCAAGGTATACTCCAATCCTTAGAATAAAAAAGTAGAAGTAGATAACCTAGTCAAAGAAGTTTAATAATATTATAATAAAGAAATACATAGATGCTTTAACCAAAGAAGTTCTAAAAATTTTACAAATTAAATGGAGAAATCTTAATTCCTATAAAATTATTATAAAGATCAGATGACAAAACAAGACCTTAGATAACCCAATTAGGTAGTTTATCAAAAATATGAACAATAAAACAATAGTCTATCAGTGGACTTATTAAAATTGAATAAAGAAAAATGAAGCTATCAGATTTTAGAACAGCAAGTTTATATATGGGAATTGGTAGGGAAAGAATAAAAGATGATTATATATAGGATACTTTTTTTAAAAAATCTAAAAAAAAAAGCTTTCTTATTAATTTTTTTTTTTTTTGAGTACCCATAGCCAGGCTAAATCATTAGTTTATTAATAAAATAAAGACAAAAGTACATTTTCATTCGAGCAGCATAATACATACTATAGCTAAACTATTATTCTAATCTAACTAACTCAT